TATACCTATACCTATATCTCTATCTCTATCTTTATATCTACATACAGGTACCCCTGTACAGACGTGGGGTGCTCAGGCCCTGGCTGCTCCTCCAGGCGCCCTCCATCCTGCCAGGACCCCCAAAAGGCACCCAAGGTTCAGGACTGACGTGCAAGCAGCACTCCCATTGCCACAGTTTTGCAGGGCGACTTCTGCGCAGCCGCGCGCCTTCATCTTTAGGACACGCGGTTTTCCTTGCAGAAAACCCCAAAACGCGTTGTGACCAGTGTCAGGACACCCCCCGGGAGACCCCCACCCCATTTCTGAGGCCAGGTCTCAATTCCCCCTTACCAGGATGTCCTCCGACGCGCGGCCGTCGCTGACCGAGAGCCCGTGGAGCTGCTGCTGCAGCTGCCCCATGGCCTGGGGCAGGTCCCGCGCGGGGATGAACCAGTCCTGGTCCTCCTCCTCCAGCATCTCCTGGAAGCAGCGGTCCAGGAACTCCTGCTCCTGCAGCTCCTCCTCCACCTGCCCAGAAAATGCTCATTAATGGCACGGACAAACCCCGTACGGGGTCTGCACCGCGCCTCGGTACCCAGTGTGGGTACCCAGACACAGAGCCCAGCGTGGGCGACCCCGAGGTGCGGGCTCCGTTCCACCCCTGCGCCCCAGGACGCTCCCTCCAGGGTGGAGCTGTGACACCGCTGGCTTTGGGCTTCGCTTTCACCGGGTTTGCAATTGAAAATAACTCATTGACGCAGCGTGTTTGCAGGCAGGGGCACAGCTCAGCCAGGATATACATGTATAGATACACACACACACATATACACACATGTATATACATATACACATACACGCACATACATAGCCATATATACACACATACATACCAAATATACACACACAGATATATATCCATACCTACACATATAAATACATATCCATATCTACACACACAGATACGGATATCTAGCTATCTATCTATTTATCTATCTCTATATATGTATATATTCAGGCTATATATATATATACACACACACACATATATATATCCAAATATACACACACATACAGATACATCCATATCTGCACACATAGACATATATCCATATGTACACACATATATATCTGTATCTATTTATCTATATATGTATATATTCAGGCTATATATA